ACAGCTACATATGTGAACTCCACATTTATGCATTTGAGCTGCACGTGTCTAACTACGAGACAACTACCCTATGTGTTAGATCTCCACATTAGTATAGAAACGCATTGGTTCCTCGTAAGAAGCGTTAGACTTCCACGTGTTAAATCTCCACGTTAGAATTCCACGTATAAATATAGCCAAGTGTTGAACTCCACGTGCAGGTATGACTACGTTACATCCGTACGTGTTGGATCTCCACGCGTTAGATTTTCACACATGAGAAACCCATGTGTTAGATATCTCCGAGTAAATATAGCTACAGGTTGAATTCCACCTGTAGATATATCCATGCGATACATCCGCACGTGCTTAGGTCTCCACACGTTAGATTTCCATACTTAGATCTTCACACGTTAGTTACATATCCATACTCAGATCTCCATACATTAATCTTCCAAGTATGGTTGAACGTTAGATACGTTAGACCTTTGTTACATTTCCACCAGTTAGATTTTCACACATTTCTACTAGACTTTCACGTATTGGATTTTCAAGCATATAGCTATATATTTGAACTGCACGTGCAGGTATGACGCGATCTCGTCAAATCTCAATTTTAAGAATCTTGACAAACTTTGTATAATAAAATAGGAACTGGTCATCCGAACAGTTAGGTCGTTTTTGTAAATTTTAAACGCGTAACTCAACACAAAAATAGACGGATATTGGGAGTAGGCAGAATACAATCCGAAACGTGTGCAAATATCCGGTGGAAGGGAAAACCGCGAGCATGGACGAAATTGAACGCGTGGCCACGCGTCGAGGAGAGAAGGCTTGTCCGCGGCGCTGTTTGACGCGGATCGACGCGGTTCCGCTGCGCCCGTTAACGAGTGAAACTAGGTGAAAGTAAGAAGCTGGGCTCTCCTTACGTTTATATGCAGCTGGTTCGTCCAGCGCGACTCGCTGAGAGAAGGGCCGATTTACGCTCGAATCGTGAACGCAACACGCCGCGCGGACAGCCCTCCTCCGCGTGCCTTTCATCCCTTCCTTCTCATCTGCCAGCGAAACGATCGCCGTTCTCGCGTGGCCGTTTCGTTTTCTTACGACCTCCAATTAACATAAATTAGTCTGCAAGGCCTTTTTACGTTCGTACCACTTTCTCATATTCAGAGTCCTCCAATCCTGTGTCCTTTTCAGCGTACTTTTTTACTATTCATCCTTATCTTTGCCAGATGCATTTATCAATCGAGGAGTCCAAGGGCGGAGATACTACGTATCTTTCTTCCGAGTCAAAAGCACCGAAGTAAAATGCGTTCGTAAACTTATTGAGATTCGACAGTTCCACTGCTCCGGTTATTGACACTTACTTTCTTTTCTTATAAATTACGCTTGCTTTTATCTTTTGTATTATTTATGAGAGAGTGTCAATCGCATGCCAATGAGACCATATGTTAATTGAAATAATGTATGTCACGAGTGTCTGATAGCAATAATTCATGTAAACATTTTTGGGTAAATGACTTCAAACCATTTTGAAGTTGAAACAATATTAAACTAAGAGGAAGCACTCAGACTTTTTTATACACAAGATGCATATTATAATATATGTCTACATATCTCTGTACCAAAATGTACATACATATGTATATTAGAGTATGCATTTTAAAATAGTGCATCACAGTATGTATTTGCTTATAGTGTCAATAATAATTGCATACTCTATAACATTACCTTATAACATATGACAAATCTCCACATATGACAAATCTCGACATATGATAAATCTTCACATATGACGTTAAAATGTAAATTTGTATTAAAAATGAACAATGATCATCATACGATCCTTTCCCGTTTAAAACGACAGTCGAGAGCAAGAAACACGCAATGTATGAATAGAAAAAATTCACATATGTACCAGATCTAGAGCTGCACTCGAAAGTGTATCGTGTTTGCCATTGAGCCGCGTGTGCCGTGGTTTATGTGGCTCACGACAGAAACACCGAAAGAGTATTTGTCCTAGAATAAACGGAAACTCTCGATCGAGAAACAAGTCGAAACATTACTGGAAAGTTGAAACACGGAATGGTTCGACAGATAAATTCGAACGTGCTACTTTTCGAGGCGGCGAATTCCACGCAAACGAGTGGTCTGAAACTCCAGACGATTAACGAAGCGTACAAGCAGACGAGCACTTCTGATCAACCGGTTAAAAATAGGCGCGGCTTCGTGACATGTGTTTTTATAAATTGCTACCACACCAGACACGCCGCTTCTGTTCGAGGCTCTCCGTTTCTCGATAATTTCGTCCATAAATAACCTTCGATACCGAAATTTCCGTCTCGACCCTGAGGAGAGTAGCGTGACCCCGTGACATCCTAACGCTCTTTTTTTCTCTCTAAAACCGTCTTCAAAAATTAGAATTTCCACAGAGTGGTTGCAATATCGTACGAAACCATGACAAAGATAAAATTACACGACGACGATTCTGCTAAGTTTGCACGTACGAAAATAGCGTCTCGAAGAACCGTTTTATAAAACAGTGCATTCCATAGGTCGTACGATTTCACGAGCAACAGGACCAACCATTTATCAACGAGCGAAGCATCCTAATTGGGATCAGAGGTCTAATCTTAGGCCTGGCGTAGCCTAGAATAGACTGGAAGACGATTCGAGCCGGTTCGTTGAGCGTACAAAGGAAGAAACTATTATGGAAGCAATTCGGCCACGGGAAGACCCAACTCGATCCGATTCCGAGTAAATCGTGCTTTGTCCACTTTGATCGAGTGTACAACCGGTTCAGTACCGGCCCGTGATCAATGCGTTTCTAGATCCTGTTCAGGCAACCGTGTTGCCGAGCTTCGGACCTAGGTTAATCTGCTGTTTAAAATATCTTGGGCACGCGATAAGTCCGACCCAAGATAGCTCGAGCATGGTTCAAGGCACAACCTACGCGGCTAACACGAATCAACCTTGGGTACCGGTTGCTACAATTTCTACACAAGTATATTAACCCTATTGGGACACGCAGGCGCTCCTACTATTATTATTTACATTTTATATATTTTCGATTTTATACATGTAACATATATCCTTTTGGTTAAGCAATGATCCTGACCAGTATCCTCCTACAATTATTATTTAGATTTTCTGCATTTTTGAATGTATACATTTAACATATATCCTTTTGATCTGAACATATTGGTAGATTTACAAAAATGTAGATATAAAACATACATGTAAATGTAGACGAAGAAACATAGACATAGACATAGTACATGTGTGTACTCAATTTTAATTGACTCAATTATAAATTGTACACAGTCTGATATTTTTTATATACAAGTGTCTTTAGGAGTTCCAAGTTGAGGATCAAACATAGGAATATAAGTACTTCTTCCTTATATTCCCGGACTTTCCCTAGAGTTTCCTCAAGCTATTTCAAAGTACGTGGAACTTTAAAGGGAAGTTCGAGTGAAGAAAATAGTTTTCTACGGAAAGAACCGTTGCAAAAGAAAGATGGCGAGATAAAAAGACAGGACCGGGTCCAAAGAGAAGGTTGGATGCTAATTTTTCAGGCGGTCGGCCCCGAAGCGTAAGCATCGCGTGTTCCCTAACGTAGCACGTACGAAAGCTACGAAACGCACACACTCGCGAGCGGAAGCAGCCTGTAATTATATTGTCACGCCGCGGGTGTTCAATTTGTCGGCACACATCCGCCTCCCCCGCGTTCGTTAACCATCTCACGGATCCACCTTCGACAACTTCGACCGCTACCTTCGTCACCCTGAGACCCGCTCTTCTCACCACGAAGCCTCTCGAATAATCTCAGAAAACTGGCTTCGCCTGACATTGCAACGATTGCTACGATATCGCCGACTCATTGCTGCACTCTCGAAATAGAATCATTTCGTATTTTTAAACACTTGGGCTAAGTTTGGGTCACTGTGGACATGGATCACAATGGAGTACATCCACATGCACCTAATTTAACCACTCGCATTTTAATTTGTTTAAACATCATACAGATTTGAATGCATAGAGCTGTTGATGTCGAGATTCAACTCTATTGACCTAACTGTTGATCAACTCAATGACAGCTCTAGATAGATGCATTGAGAGGACCTTTTGAGAGATTTGTTTAAACATCATACAGATTTGAATGCATAGAACTGTTGATGTTGAGATTCAATTCTATTGACCTAACTGCTGATCAACTTAATGACAGCTCTAGATAGATGCATTGAGAGGACCTTATTTATTTGAGGGGACCCTTCGAGAGATTTATTTAAACATCATACAAATTTGAATGCTTAGAACTGTTGATGTTGAGATTCAATTCTATTGACCTAACTGCTGATCAATTCAATGACAGCTCTAGATAGATGCATTGAGAGGACTTTGTTTATTTGAGAGGACCTTTCGAGAGATTTGTTTAAACATCATACAGTTTTGAATACATAGAACTGTTGATGTTGAGATTCAACTCTATTGACCTAACTGCTGATCAACTCAATGACAGCTCTAGATGGATGCATTGAGAGGATCTTGAATTTAAAAGTCAAGATCAGTAGATTTTATAAAATTCACGATTGCTTTGTTCGTTGTAAGCGAAAAGTATGTAAATGATGTACTTTCATTTATCACACTCTTACTCCTTTTCGGACTACATGTTCTCATCATTCTACGTAGCTTCATCATTCTACGTGCACGTCTTCATTCTACAAGTCTTCATTCTATTAGACTTCATTTTACAAGACTTCATTATTCTGCCCTCATCATTCTGGATACCTTCATCGTTCTTTTGCTACAATGTAATAATAGCCGGTTCCGTAATCAATTTCTTGATCTAATTTAAGTCATTTATCAATGAAGATACCAACAAGTTAAGACGAGGCCGTGAAAAGCAACTGTTTACCGTGTTTAATCTGCGTGAACGACGAAAGCTATAGAGTGTAGCAAATCCTATTTCGACGATTTGCAAAGTAAGCGTTGTGTTAAGTATCGTTGAAAGTACTTACATAACTAATCATGGGTATGTTGCGGGATTGAGCGACTATGGCTTCAACGTAGCAGGAGCCTTCTGGTCCAAAGAAAGCTGCAACCCCGCTGCAGATCATATCGATCATTGCCTTGGTGGCTTCCACGGTTTCTCCCCTCGTGTCGTTCCATTTCATCACCAGCTTTACGTTGGGTAATATGTTTGGATCGTTGTTGATCTGAAACGAAGACATCCAAATCACGTTAGCTCTCTAAATCGGATACAAAGATGTTTACATCGTTTCTTGATCGGATGTGGATACGTTACGACATACCACATTTTGTCACCCGAAAAGTTTAACGTGTTAACCCGTGCTTGATGGAAAACGATCAATCTTCCGCGACCTTTAGGAGTTTAATCTTCAAATTTTATGAGAGGGAATGTTTAAATTCTAAAGCGTTTAAATTCTGAAGCGAAGGGAAGTTTGCTCGTGAAATTTGTAAGATAAATTTTGCAGTTTTAGTAGCGGAAAATGGAAGTTTATTATCGATGTTACGTAATCAATTACGAGGTTCATTTTACGCGGCACGATATTGAATTATAACGATCGAACGATGCGACCAGATACTGGTAACGATCACCTGGTTGCTCGAACACTATGCTCGCCTACTTATCTCGTTTAATTGTTTCCCGCAACACCCTCGGTCAACCGATGCTTTAATGGAAGTAATTACGTTACCATAACTTCTGTCATGAATATTCATACTACTCGCCAACCGTCAGTGTACACAAACTGTGGTCTGGCAATAAGAGAACAATAACTAAGAGATGAAACGGCAACCGGTCGGTAATTAGAACGTCTCCCTAATTATCGTTAACCCGTTAACCGAGTCATCTTTCAATTAGAAAACGTCTCTCTTCCCCTTATGCGCATAATAAACAGCGAATAAAGAGCGATTAATTTATCTTACACGTGACAGGTACTAATTACTTGCATCTTCCTTTGGATGAACCCTTTTGCTATGGAAAATTCATTGTAGACTAATTAACGCCGTTTAGTCTCTCCGGTAAATGAAAGTTTTAATGCAAGAATAATCACTGTGGAGTCTCCTCATTTTGCCGCTGGCACATTATTTGTGTTGCCGGGGATTTACTGTTTCTTAAGTTTTATGATGATGCGGAAAATTTGGGGGTGTTGAATTTTGCCATGCTGGGTTTCGAGGCGTTGAATTTCGATGCGTTGGATTTCGACGAGTTGGATATCCACGCGTTGGATATCCACGCGTTAAATATCGACACGTTGGATATCCACGCGTTGGATTTCCACGCGTTGGATTTCCACGCGTTGGATATCCACGCGTTGAATATCGACACGCTGGATTTACACACGTTGGATATCCACGCGTTGGATTTCCACGCGTTGAATTTCGACGCGTTGGATTTCCACGCGTTGGATTCCGACGCGTTGGATTTTCACGCGTTGAATATCCACGCGTCGAATACCGACACATTGGATATTCACACGTTGGATTTCCACGCGTTGAATTTCGACGCGTTGGATTTCCACTCGTTGGATTTCCACGCGTTGGATTTCGACACGTTGGATTTCCACGCGTTAGATTCCCACGCGTTGAATTTCCACGCGTTGGATATCCACGCGTTGAATATCGACACGTTGGATTACCACGCGTTGAATATCGACACGTTGGATATCCACGCGTTGCATTTCGGCGCGTTGGATTTCCACGCGTTGGATTCCGACACGTTAGGTTTCGACGCACTGGATTTCGTCACGTTGGTAATCCACGCGTTGGATGTCGGCGCATTAAATAATTAATAAATTAAATTGTATAAATTCAGAGTTGAAAGCGTAGGTGAGTTATTCTGTGAAACGCACAGGTTGAAGCAGGTGCGAAATAAGGAATGCGAGCCGTCCAACGGGAAGAGCAATGATTTTTTATAGTGTTCCCTCCGCTTTAACGGTTCGTGCAGCTCGAAGCTACGGGAAAATTCGGCCCCTCGCGTACACGAAAGTTCATTTTTCATTGAATCTTCCTATTTCATCGGCAGCTTGTTGCGTAATATCGCGTGTAATCCTTCCAAGAACAATGGTCGCAGATGCGTGAACGTAATTAAGCCATTTGCTTCGGCTGGAAAGCGTTTCTCAACGATTTCACGTTGAGTCAAACTTCGTCCATAAAATGTTATTTACAAGCAACTGTTGCGTTTTTCTTCGTAACGAGAGGAACGAAGTTTATGCCACAATAAGTTCTCTCGTCTCCGGTTCACTTTCAATGGTATTTCTTTCTAGCTTCGAATGGGAATGAATATCTGCCCCCCAGGAACGTCGATTAAAGTTCAATTCATAATGTTACTCGCGATGTCCTGTCCTGGTTCTCCGCGAGCGTTCCTCTAACTCTCGCGGCGTATCCGGCTTGAATACACACATCATACGAGCCACGATTGCTTATTATGCAAATCTGATTTCCAGTAAACAATACTTTTCCAAGTAGCCGCGTTATCGTCCTATCGATTTATGTGTTTACTAGTCCGAGCTGAATACTTTGTGTTCACTATGAATACGTTCTTACTACTACTTTAGTTTAGCAAAAATGCCCGTTCAAATGGAAAATTATGCGATACTTCGCGTAACCATAACTGAGCGAACGCGTAATGTAGGGAGTCAAGATCAATCGTACTGTAATACAACGCGTCGGGATCCAACCACAATACAATGTGTAGAAATGAAATTTACTATAATACAATGCGTCGTAATGTAACGCGTCGAGACACAACATAACATGATACAACGTTTTGAGATTCAATGTGTTGTACTACGCCGTAGGAGGGATTCATGTAGATGTAGAATGTAGAAATCTAATGCGTCGAAACCCAACATGTCGAAATGCACCGCGTCAAAATCCAACGAACCGAAATTCAGCACGTCCAAATCCAACATGTGGATACTCAGTTCGTCGAAGTCCAACGCGCCGAGATCCAATGCGTCGATATCCAACGGGTCGGAACCCAACGTGTCGAAATCCAACGCGTCGAACTCCAACGCGTAGATATCCAACGCGTAGAAATTCATCGCGTCGAACTCCAACGCGTAGATATCCAACGCGTCGAACTCCAACGCGTAGAAATCCAACGCGTCGTACTCCAACGTGTCGAACTCCAACGCGTCAAACTTCAACGCGTAGATATCCAACGCGTAGAAATCCTACGCGTCGAACTCCAACGCGTAGATATCCAACGCGTAGATATCCAACGCGTAGATATCCAACGCGTCGAACTCCAACGCGTAGATATCCAACGCGTCGAACTCCAACGCGTAGATATCCAACGCGTCGAACTCCAACGCGTAGATATCTAACGCGTCGAACTCCAACGCGTAGATATCTAACGCGTCGAACTCCAACGCGTAGAAATCCAACGCGTCGTACTCCAACGTGTCGAACTCCAACGCGTCAAACTTCAACGCGTAGATATCCAACGCGTAGATATCCAACCCGCAGAAATCCAACACGCCGTAATCCAACGTGTGGATTACCCATCGCCCCCAAACCCAACGCAACTTTTCAGGACTTCCTCCATTCCCCAAAAATACTTCCAAATCGAATATTTATTGACACGGGGTTCTATCGCAGTAAAAGCGTCATGCTCAATTTCCTCGAGTTTTACTTATTTACTTTGGAAAAACTAGCGACACTGTTGTTTCAATATCACTGAAATATGCACGAACGCGGTGATTTCTCCGGAGAGTTGTCTGAGCGTGAAACAATGTAACAGCGTCTAACAGCGCTCGTTGTGACTAGCAGGGTTTCACCAATCAGCTTATTTTCGAGTAATTGAAGGGCGTCCGGTCGTGGAAGGCTGTGTGCACGAATGCCAATCTTCAGGGACGATGAGAACGACTTTGCCACGAGAAACTAAAGGTCTCAATCAATGATATTGCACGCGAATACGAATCGCTCAAATAATCAATAATAATACTTATTAATATTTATGTTTCTTGTCGCTTTTCAGGATTAACATGCTGGCTGTCACGCTGTACATGCGTGTAGGATACTTATTCCATATATCATCCAAATCGTAGAGGATGTCATATGAGTAAAGATGTGAGATGTGTGATAAATCGTCTTAATCAGAAAGGTGGTTAATACTTGAAATTTTTTTGTTATAATACAAAGCAAAGGTGGTGTTATATTATGGAAATCTGTGGGTGTAGAGATATGGAGTTTTAGGGGACTTAAGAATATAGAGATGGTGGGTTGTAGAAATCTGAGAGTACTGGGATTTAGAAATGTGGGTACGTATGAATCTGGGAATTTGGAAGTTTAGGTATTTGGGGATTTACGAATCCATGGCACTAGGAATTTATAAATTTAGAAATGTCCAGATCTAAGAATCTAGAAATCTAGGAATCTAGGAATCTTGCGATCTAGAAATGTAGGAATCTTGAGACCTCAGCGTCTACAAATCCAAGAATTCAGAAATGAAGAAATCTAAAAGTAAGAAGCCGAGACACAGGAATCTGAAGACGTAGAAATCTGCCAAGATTTATCGAAAATAAAAACAAGTAACTAATGAATCTTTCAGTAGTTTGTAGTCGCGTTAATGAACCTTTGAACCTCAATTTCTCTTTCAAGATTGACTATGGTCGCGTGAAGTTTAGACTCGCACGGGCGATACTTAAACTATGCAAAATCGCTATTTTCCACGTATTTGCAAGTACGTACGCCAAACTAGTTTACATCGTGGGAGTGCGTCATAGCGAATTCCAGCTATATTTTTTTCCTTTTTTACATCAACAAGTATCGCCGGCAGCGAGCCGGCCAACGTGCACCTGCACACAGTACTGAAGCGAGCGAACAGGTAAACGTTTAAAGCTCCATTCACATCCACTCCATAACTTTCTCGTTCAATTAGCCTCCTCGGTCAGGATTAATTAAGCAATTTCCCGATTTACACGCTGTCTCGAGTAATTAAGAGTTCATCCGATCGGAGATCATTCATTTCCTTACGTAACAAATTTTCAGACAGACTCTGTGTTTATAAATTTTATTCAACGTGATCTCGACACTTTTAATATTCGTTTCAATTTATCCTATACAAAGTATATCTCGTAACAGCTACCGTTAACCTTCCACGTTAAACAAATCATTTATCAAGTCCCATCGATCGATTACCGATTATCACGCATCAGAGGCAGCGCAATAAAAAGGTTAAACGACG